GAGGTTAAAAGTCATCTTTTTGATTTTTAACTTTTTTTGAATCATGTCATTTTTTTATTTTTTATACATTTTTTTTTAAAAAGTCCAATTTTTTTTAAAAAAAAGTTAACTTTCAGCTTATTTTAACATATTGCCAAAATAAGCATTAGTATAGATATAAGTGATGAAACCTTTAAATCAAGGTAATGCTAGAATTATCTAATGTTTTACCAATGCACCTAGTAAGTGTGCCAATTATTGAGTAGAAAAATAAGCGTGTTTCTATTAAATTAATATAATAATTGATAACTTGCATAATAAATCAAATAAGATATAAAAATATAATTCAGCTTGTTTGATTTCGTTTTTCTGAAAACAGTTTTCAGAAAATTCTACTTTCTTATTTTCCGTATTTTTTTGTTTTTAATGAATTTTTTTAATATTTTAAGCAATTTTTAAAATTTTTAGATATACCTAACATAAATATTCCTAAAAAGTAAAAAATTTGTGAAAAAAACCTTTTAAAAATTCGCTAAATACCAAAAATACAAAAAAAAAAAATGAGAATTCAGTACATTTTTTATATTTTTATGTATTTAATAATTTTTTAAAATATGTTTTTACAAATTTTTTACTTTTTAGATACATCTAAGTAAGGTGCATCTAAAAAACTAAAAAAAAAATATTTAAAATTTTAAAAATATTCACTAAAAATAAAAAAATACGAAAAACTCAATTTTCAAAAAACTCAAACCAAACACACTGATTATTGTTCGTTTAAATCAAATAGAACCAAAAACAAGTCATGATATGTGTTAAATATAGTAATCATATATTTTGTCTATCATACATATCATATTATTTTATTATCATACTTAAGTTTCTCTCTTCCCATACAAAAGTCTTATATACATTGTTATATAATTATACAACATAATATTGAATATATACATAATACAATATTCTCTCTCTCCCTCTCTCTCTCTCTTTTAAATATTATAACGTGGTATCAGAGTTATAAGTTAAACTCTTGGTGTTCTTCGCCTTACCAACAGGCGGCAACCTTGCCTTGGCCACCTGCCAGAGCTTAACCCATTCTGCTGTCATATTTTCCTTTCAATATCACTTCGTGGTGATCTCTTTCTTTATCCGTTGGGTTATTCCTACCCCAAATATCTTCATCATATATATATATATATATATATATATATATATTTACTCTCCCTTTTTTTTTTTTTTTGTGCTTCTACTCTACTCTGTATGGCGCACAACCCAAGTCGTCACCTGTCGCACTTTCTCACAAGTTGCCCTTGGCGCACAATGTCATCTATTGCCATTATCGTTCAGCACCACATCATAAGTTACGCATGTGCCACATTTACTGGCTCAACATCCAGTTCTTCTTCAACGGTCTGGCACAATCTTAAACTGTCCCGGCATTAACTCCGACCTCTGATTTATCTCAAGTGCCCATGTGCTCCCATTTAGACTTTGCAATTTATTTGCCTCGAATCTATCCATATTTTATTTGTTTTTAGTTTTATATGTTTTAGTTTCTCTCTCCAAACTTAAGTTAGTATCCCTAATTGAGTTTGAGGGGAGTGTTAAATATAGTAACTATATACTTTGTATATCATATATACCATATTATACTCATTACCATACTTAAGACTACTATACTTAGGTTTCTCTCCTACTACATAAATGAGTCATGTATACATTGTTACATAATTATACAACACAATACTAATATATACATAATATAATATTTTCTCTCTCTCTCTCTCTCTTAAATATTGTAACAATATGAATTTGACTTTATTTTACAATTTTTTTTTTCATGTATAAATCCATAAAATTAGAATCGTGTCTCAACAATACCGTATTAACTCTTAGAAAATGAACATATATATTTTAAAATTATACTTTGGATATGTTCATCCTAAGGTGGCTCGTGTCCAGTACTACTTGGATTTGTTTGGTGTTACTTTTCTAAATTTGAAAGTTGATAATAAGAAAATAAAAATTAAAATCATTTCTCCTCAACTTTTATAATCATTTTTTTAGCTTTCAAAATTATTTATATCTTATAAACTAAAAACAAAAGCTGCACTAAACATATGGCACAAGTTTAAAATTAAAAATAAATAAATTTATAAACAGTTCTTAAATTTTGAACCAAACAAACTAATCACATTCTCTTCTTCTTTTGATTTTTTTTATAATACATTGAAAATATCCTAGAGGGCCCATGATAGTTGTTTTGCCACAACACTTGTAGGCTTCCTTCTAGGTAGTCAAGACTCGAGACTAACATCAAACACGAAAGAAGAAAAAAAAAATGACACTCTAGATACGGAAATCTAATTGGAACATTGCACAAAAAAATTCACTTTTTAAATCTACTTTATAGATTATGTGGCGTATAAAAAAGGTGATTACTTGAAAATTAGTGAAGATAGTAAAGAGAGTTTCCTTAAATATTCTAATAGATTGTCACATTACTTAATTTGAAAAATGAGCCTAACTTTTGAATTAGAATAGTACTTTTCATTTGTATATTGAGAACCGCTATACAAGATATGTTTCTTCTACTGTTATATATTAGCGTAATATATTGTAAGATATTTTTTGTTTTTATTAATTTTTAAAAAATATTTCCAAACAAGAGAAATAATCATAGATATTTACGTAAACAGTAATACAAAATCAATAGCATATAGCAATTCATTTTAAATTATAATTTGTTTTATCATCTCATATTTTCTATTGATTTTAACGAATTGCACTACTCTTTTCAACTATAAATGCAAGGTGACATTACCACATAATAAAATATTACAATACACAAAAATCATCATTATTTTATTACTCATCCTTGAGTCCCCTATTCAATGCTTACTTGCGTCACCATGTTTCCACATCAACGTCCAGGCCAACCTCATTGAAGAGTTTCAACAGTTTCAGCAAACCCAGCGGGGCTTTTCCCAAAATAAGTAAAAATAGTAACTTATTTTTCAAATTAGATTTAATTTGAACGGAATTCTCAAAATAAGTTAAAATGTTATTACAAAATCACACTTTCACCATATTTCGGGCCCAGCCACGAAAAATTGATGAAATTGTAAATGCGTAGTTACAAACCACGCTTTTAATTAAGAAAGCGTGATTTCTAACCATGCTTTTGTAATCACGTTTTTAAATAAAATTATTTTGTAACCAAAATATAAGACAAGTAGAGAGGTAGCTCAAATGATAGTGTGCTATTTTCTATGGGAGATGTACGGGTCCAATCCCTCACATTTCTAAGCTTTTGCTTTTTTTCAAATTCAATTCATTTTTTTTTCCCTTTCCACTTACTCTATATTTTATATATTTACTATGTAATTTTTTTTATCAAAAAAAGTAAAACATTTGTTTGGTTAACTAATATTTATAATAAAATTATATTTAAAATAAAAAATGAATTTTTTTAAATTTTTTAATATTTAAAATATTAAAAAAATATAACACATAAATGTATGAAATATAATGCACATTAAAATAAATAAATAAACATTTATATGTGTATTTTTTAATATTTTAAATATAAAAATTTTATTTTTTATTTTAAATATATAATTTTTATTATAAATATTTTATTTTATTTTATATTATAAATATATTTTTAAATATTTTAATTTTTTGTTTATGTGTTTGGTTACGATTTGAGTGTAGAGTTTTGAAAATAGTGTGGAATTTTGAGTTATGTGTGTTAGTTATGAGATTTGAAGATAATTTTTAATTGAGTTTTGAGTTATGTGTTGGTTATGATATGAGTGTGGAAATGTGTTTTGAGTTTAAAATATTAAAATAAAAAATTAAAATATTTACAAAATAAAATAAAATATTTAAAATAATAAAATTTATATTTAAAATTAAAAAATTAAAAAATGTTTAAGAAAATTTTATTTTATTATTTTAAATATATAATTTTTTATTTAAATATTTTATTTTATTTTGTAAATATTTTAATTTTTTTAATTTTAATATTTTAAACTCAAAACACATTTCCACACTCATATCATAACCAAACACATAACTCAAAACTCAATTAAAAAATTATTTTCAAACCTCATAACCAAACACATAACTCGAAAATTTACACTACTTTCAAAACTCTACACTCAAATCGTAACCAAAACACATAACAAAAAAAATATATTTAAAAAAATATTTATAAAATAAAATAAAATATTTATAATAAAAATTATATATTTTAAAATAAAAAAAAATAAATTTTTAATTATTTAAAATATTTTATATTTTAAATATTTATTTATTTATTTTAATATGCATTATATTTCATATATTTATGTCTTATATTTTTTTAATATTTTAAATATTAAAAAATTTAAAAAAAATTATTTTTTATTTTAAATATAATTTTTATTATAAATATTAGTTAACCAAACAAATGTTTTATTTTCTTTGATAAAAAATAATTAGATAATAAATATATAAAATATATAGAGTAAGCGGATAGGGAAAAAAAAAATTGAATTGAATTTGAAAAATACAAGAGTTTGGAGATGTGAGGGATTGAATCCGCGTACCTCTTCCATGGAAAAGAGCATATTACCATTTGAACTACCTTCCTACTTGTCTCCTGTTTTGGTTACAAAACAATTTTATTTAAAAGCGTAAAGCGTGGTTTCTAACCATACTTTTTTTGTAAAAATAAATTTCCTTAAAAGCGTAGTTTGTAACCACGTTTTCTTCATTAAAAGTGTGGTTTGTAGCCACACTTTTACGATTTTATCAATTTTTTGCGGCTAGGCCAAAAATATAGTGAAAACGTGATTTGTAATAACGTTTTAGCTTATTTTAAAAATTCCGTCCAAAATAAACCTAATTTGAAAAATAAGTTGTTATTTTAACTTATTTTGGAAAAAGCCCCAAAACCAGGCCTTGTCCCCGTTCGAGAATCTTCATCTATATATATGTGAAGTGAGTTGTAACGTAGTCACAACACAACAAACACATACTCTCCTTTTTCAGCATATTCTTGCACAACCACACATGGCTATGAAAAGTGGCTCCCTCCAACTTCTCTTTCTTATTCTCTTCTTTTACTTTCAAGCCATAAAACTTAGCTCCAGCTTTCAGAGTGTTAACGGGGGTTGCATAGAAATTGAGAAGAAAGCACTTCTTAAGTTCAAACAAGGCCTCACAGATCCTTCAGGCCGGCTCTCTTCTTGGGTCGGAGGAAATTGTTGTACGTGGCAAGGCGTGAACTGCAACAACAGAACTGGAAATGTCATCAAACTCAAACTTCGCAACCCATTTCCAGATAGTTTTGATATCAATGGAACAGTAAACAACCTGGGAGGTGAGATCAATCCTTCTTTACTCAACTTGAAATATTTGAGTTATTTAGACTTGAGTATGAATAACTTTGGAGGGATCGAAATCCCAAATTTCCTCGGCTCCCTCACAAATTTGAGATACCTCAATCTCTCTGGTGCATTTTTTGGTAAGACAATCCCACCAAATCTCGGAAACCTTTCAAGCTTGCTTTATCTTGATCTCAGCTCCTACTTTGATGATTCAAATGTCAATGATTTGAAATGGATATCAAGTCTTTCATCTTTAAAGTACCTTAATTTGGGAGGTGTGGACCTTAGTAAGGCTGCATCCTCTTGGCTTCAAATTTTAAATATGCTTCCATCCCTTTTAGAATTACATTTGCCTCAGTGTGTGCTTCTCAACCTTCCACCCTCTCTTCCTTCTGTTAATTTTACATCTCTTTCAGTACTTGACCTCTCCAACAATGGCTTCAACTCCACAATACCCCAATGGTTGTTCAATCTTAGTTCCCTTACCCAACTTGATCTCAACTCCAACAATCTCCAAGGTGAAGTTTCAGATGCCTTTACAAAGCTAACTTCCCTTCAAAACCTTGATCTCTCACAAAATTCCTTCCTTCAAGGTCAGTTGTCAAGAAATCTAGGAAAGTTCTGTAATTTGCAGATGTTGGAACTTTCTTTCAACAATATCACAGGAGAGTTGACTGAATTCATCAGTGGTTTATCTGAATGTCCTAGTAGTAGCTTACAGACATTGGATCTGGGATATAATCAATTGACTGGCAACCTGCCTAATACATTGGGATACTTAAAGAAATTGCAGTACCTTATACTTTGGAATAACATGTTCCAAGGTCCGATTCCAAACTCCATCGGAAATTTATCTTCTCTGGAGGAATTATACCTCTCCAACAATCAAATGACAGGGAGCGTCCCACAAAACCTTGGGCAACTCTCATCGTTAATTGTATTGGAGCTCTCTGAGAATTCATGGGAAGGTATTGTTACTGAAGCTCATTTTGCAAATCTCTCAAACTTGAGGGAACTCTCAATTTATAGAGGATCACCAAATATTTCAATGATTTTCAACATCAGTTCTAATTGGATTCCTCCTTTCAAGCTCACATTCATCAACATCAGATCATGCCAGTTGGGACCCAAATTCCCAACATGGCTTCAAAATCAAAGTGAGTTGAACACTCTCGTTCTTAACAATGTTGGAATTTCTGACACCATACCAGATTGGTTTTGGAAGTTGGATTTGGAACTCGATGATATAGAGGTACCTTATAATAACTTAAGCGGACGAGTGCCTAACTCATTACGGTTTAATGAATTTGCCCATGTTGATCTTAGTTCAAACCGCTTTGAAGGCCCTCTCCCGCTTTGGTCATCCAATGTGAGTGCATTATATCTAAGGGATAACTTGTTCTCTGGACCAATTCCTCTAAACATTGGTGATGTAATGCCCCAGTTAACAGATTTAGATATCTCTATGAACTCTTTAATTGGTAGCATTCCTTTGTCCATAGGTAAACTAAATGCTATGACAAACCTAGTCATCTCAAGCAATCGACTTTCTGGAGAAATACCTGACTTTTGGAATAATATGCCAGACTTGTACTTTATTGAAATGTCAAACAATAGTCTATCTGGTATAATACCAAGCTCAATGGGTTCTCTAAAATTTCTCAAATTCTTGTATCTCTCTAAGAACAATCTTTCAGGGGAAGTTCAAACAGATTTGCAAAACTGTACGTCCATGGAAACCATCGATATTGGCGACAATAAAATATCTGGATATATTCCGTCTTGGATAGGAGAAAGCATGCCATCTTTATTGATTCTCCGTTTACGGAATAATTCCTTTACTGGAAACATACCTTCACAAATATGTAACCTCTCTGCACTTCACATATTGGACCTTTCACAAAATAAGTTGTCAGGAATAATTCCACCTTGTTTTGAGAATTTTAATGGTATGAAAATCCAGCTTACTTCAGAGCGATATGAAGGGAATTTGCAGGTGGTTGCAAAGGGAGCTGTAATTGAATATCACGCTCCCCTCCTTTACCTCGTGAATATTCTAGATCTCTCGGTCAATGATTTATTTGGAAATATTCCTGAAGAACTAACAACCCTTATCAAATTAGGTGCGTTGAACTTATCAATGAATCAGTTGACTGGAAGGATACCGGAGAAGATTGGAAACATGGTATTGTTAGAAACACTCGATCTCTCAGAAAACAAACTTTCAGGCTGTATTCCACCAAGCATGGCATCATTGACTTTTTTGAATCATTTGAACTTATCGTATAACAACTTGTCAGGTGAAATCCCTACAAGCAACCAGTTTCAAACACTCAATGATCCATCAATTTACGAGGGTAATCCTGCTCTTTGTGGGCTTCCTCTAATAACAAAGTGTATTCATGACGGTGGGCCGACCCCTAGTCACAACAAAGAAGTTGCAGATGATGAAGGTAAGTTTGAAATGCTATGGTTATCCATCAGCATAGGATTGGGATATTTCATGGGGTTTTGGGGGGTTTGTAGCACTTTGATTGTTAATAGACATTGGAGGGCTGCTTATTTCCATTTCCTTGGGAAATCAAAAGACTGGATCATTGTATTTGTCTTGACACGTGCTTCTCGTCTACAATGGAAATTCAACAAAGCTTGAAAGAATTGTCACTTGTCAAAAAAAGCTTTGCTTGTAGATCTCAGTAAATATGATTGTTTATAAAGGAATGTGTCATTTCTTATAATTTGCAAACATGCCTGTATATAAATATTAGTAATCATACAACAATGTTCAGAATCATTTTTCAAAAGTATTTATTACTAGATGAGATTTAATTTAGGTTGATACAAAGATTTGTGTTGATCTCAATGGAAAAATATAAAGTACTTCAAATACAAAGTTGAAGACAAACATTCATAGAAGATATAATAACATTGGAATATAAAAGAAGGTTTTTTTTTTTTTTTTTTTTGTGAGCTTGACAATATTTTTTTTTTTTTTTTTTGGTGAGCTTGACAATAAAAGAATGTATACTACAAAAATAGTTAAAGATCATACTTTGACAAAAAAAAAATATCTCACTTTTATTAGAAGTGTGATAAAAAAAATTAGATTGATATTTTAATCACACTTAATTTGATTAAGTGTGATAATATTCATTTTTTATGTCACTTTTCAATTAAGTGTGATTATATATAGGGGTTTTTTTTTTAAGGTCCCTGGTATTAACATTTTCTAGCATAAAGGACACCAAATATTTTCATAATGTCTAAGGTCCCTCAGGTTGATCCAGAGAAAATTGGTCCAAAGAAAATTAGTCCAGAGAAAATTGATCCAGAGAAATTTCATCCAGAGAAATTCTGAATTTCTCTGGATTCAACCCAGAGAAAATTCAAATTTCTCTGGGAATTGTGAATATATATATATATATAACTATGACTGCCAATTAGGTGGAAGGGGAGAAAAGGGAAGGAAATGGAGAAGGTATGGAGGAAGCTGCTGTGAAGAGGGGGGGAAAGAAAAGGGATTCTGTTTCTCTAAACTCCCCAAACCCAAAGAAATTCTCAGACATACATTTTCAGAGATTCTCCCACCCAGAGAATTTCTCTGGACTCCACAATCCAGAGAAAATTCCCAGCCAGAGAAATTCTCTCAACCCAAAGAATTTCTCTGGGCATGACCAGATGCAATACCTGCTGTTGCTATACGCAGACAAGAATCAACTTAAGAATATAGTTGGCTCATTAAATAGAACTACAAATAGTAGGTTAGTCCCTCTACTTCACTGTAGAAGTGGATTTCACCTTAATGTTTGAGGGAGATGCTGATTTTAGTGACTCACATTGGCAGCAAATTGTGTAAAGAAAATTTGTGTGGCTTTGTGTGGTTTTATCCAGAGAAAATTTGTGTGGCTTTGTGTGACTCTATCCAGCGAAAATTTGTGTGACTTTGTATGGCTCTATCCAAAAAAAATTTGTGTAGAGAAAATTTGTGTGGCCTTGTGTCGCTCTATCCAGAGAAAATTGTGTAGAAAAAATTTGCGTGGCTTTGTGTAGTTTTATCCAGAGAAAATTTGTGTGGCTTTGTGTAGTTTTATCCAGAGAAAATTTGTGTGGCTTTGTGTAGTTTTATCCAGAGAAAATTTGTGTGGCTTTGTGTAGTTTTATCCAGAGAAAATTTGTGTGGCTTTGTGTAGTTTTATCCAGAGAAAATTTGTGTGGCTTTGTGTAGTTTTATCCAGAGAAAATTTGTGTGGCTTTGTGTAGTTTTATCCAGAGAAAATTTGTGTGGCTTTGTGTAGTTTTATCCAGAGAAAATTTGTGTGGCTTTGTGTAGTTTTATCTACATGTATCACAAAAGACCCAAAATAATTATTACTAGTTGCATAAAATACCAATCCAACAAGATTGATACAAAGTTGCACACAATAGTAAATATTACCTGACTACAAATGTTATCCATGGCGACATGAGGCTCAGATTGACCTTCAGGAGTACAAAAACCATCACCCTGCAAACAACCAATTTATTTAATTCATTATTTTCCAAACACACATAACACAAAATTGATAACACATAACAATCACATATAACAAAATTAATTACCTGCTTAAATTGCATTATTTTCTTCTTTGCAATAGATTTTTCCATCCCGCCATTGATCCTCCTTCTTCCTTTACTAGTTGTTTGTCTTTTCTTGAGTCCCTTGGCTTGGATTGGACAATCTGCTTCATCACTTTGTAGGCATGTGTTAGCTGAGGAATTTCTGAATTCAGTGATCTCCACTTGACCACAAGTGTGCACACTTAATTTGTCTTCAACCATGACACTCAGTTCTTCACCTTTTGCAAGTGACAAATGATAAGTTTCTTCACTTTCGGCGGCTCTACTTGCTATAGCTCTAAACATATTCATCAATGACCTATATCGGTCGCTTTGATGTAGTTTGACATCAGCCTTTTTTAATCACACTTTTTAAATAAGTGTGATTATATATATATATTTTTTATGTCTCTTTTAATTAAAGTGTGATTATATATACACTACTACTTTTTAATCACACTTTTTAAATAGGTGTGATTATATATATATTTTTTAATCACACATTCTAATTAAAGTATGATTATTTATATATTTTTTAATCACACCTTCTAATTAAATTGTGATTATATATACACTACTACTTTTTAATCACACTTTTTAAATAGGTGTGATTATATATATATATTTTTTAATCACACATTCTAATTAAAGTGTGATTATTTATATATTTTTTAATTACAACTTCTAATTAAAGTGTGATTATTTATATATATATTTAATCACACTCCACTACAAGAAAAAACATTTTTGGCGACTAAAAAAGCACATTTGGTTGCTGAAAGTATAAGTTTTGGCGACTAAAAAAATATTAGTAGCCAAAAGTATAGGTTTTGGCGACTAAAAATCTGTTTGGTTGCCCATATATGGCTTTTACCAACTAAAAAATTTTTAGTAGCCAAAAGTAAGGCTTTTTGGCGACTAAAAAAAATTCAGTAGCCAAAAGTGAGACACTGGGCGACTAAAAAAATGTTTGGTCACCAAAAGTGAGGCTTTTACAGACTAAAAAAATTTTAGTAGCCAAAAGTGAGGCTTTTTGGCAACTAAAAAAAAATTAGTTGCCAAAACTGAGGCATTGGGCAACTAAAAAGATATTTAGTAGCCAAAAGTGAGGCTTTTTGGCAACTAAAAAGAAGTTTAGTCACCAAAAGTGGTAATTTTAGCCCGAGAATTAAATTTTTTAACGACTAAAAAATAATTAGTAGCCAAAAGTATAAATTGGCGACTAAAATTATGTTTAGTCGCCAAAAGTGGTCTCTTTTTTTTCTAGTAAATAATTTATTTTTACATAAATTATGTTCAATAAAAAATAATTATCTTTATATATATACTTTTCTATTAATACAGGTCTATGTACTATATAAATAATAGATGTTGCTTATATAATTATATGGTATTATAGAGGTATAGTGGTCATCCATTTGGAGATCAGTTTATAATGTGAGAGGGGTTGATGGTTCGAATCTCTATAAGAGTTAATGAGTGTAATTTTTTTTTTTTTTTCACGAATGAGCTTTTGACGACTAAAAGGTTTGATCTCAATGTTATTAATCACACTTAAAATGTGTGATCTAAATATTATTAATCATATTTAAAAAGTGTAATCTAAATATTTTTAATTACACTTAAAATGTGTGATCTAAATGTTATTAATCACACTTAAAATGTGTGATTAAAAATGACTCTTTTTAATCACACTCCCAAATATCACACTTTAATAAAACTGAAAAGGTGTGATTAAATAACTTATATTATACAAAAAAAATGTGATTTTTATCTATTTTTGTAGTAGTGTCTGTTTTTTGGGTAACATTTTTACACTGGTTACAAACAATTAATCAACCAAACTGGTTAAATTTCACTTGTAAGTGGCTGATAGAGATAGTGTTTCAGCTGTTTGATGGTCCAAAAGTTTAAAATCAACCAAGGCTTATGTGGTAGACTGTTAGATATTAGATAGTGAAGTGTGCTTAACCCAGTTTCAAGAACTTGAACGTTGGAACAATGTTTAACCCATGTAATTTAACCAAAGAAAGCATCAAGAGCAAAAAGTAAAAGGTCTTTGGACCCATATACATTGGTAATTTTTATTTAGCTCATGGTCCTCTCTACAATGGCTCAGGTTCCTCTCTACAAAAAAATTTCCTTACAAAATTTCATACATATTTCTCCCTTAATCTTGACAAAGACATTGGGAATTAGTAAGAAAGCAAAAAAAAAAAAAAAAAAAAACAAACAAACAAAGCTCTCAAAAAATAATAATAGTCGTAATAACTTTTGAAGCTTTATCACGTAATTTTGATTCTCAAAAAATCACAACCCTATATTTTTATCTGTAATTATGGTAAGGATCAAAAAGTAATATTAACAAATCAAAAATTGTTTTAGTCATTAAGCTTAATGTAAACATTGTTGGCACTATAAATCTACAATTTTATTATTTATATAATTGTAGGATATGTGACACTCTCCTACTCATTTGGAGGTTATGAGAAATTATGAAATGTAGAAAGATGATAGAGAATAAAGTGGAAAACATGAAGCATGAAATGGAGGTTGAAGGAAGTTATAGAAGATCATGGAGTATGATATGGAAGAGGTGGAAGAGTGAGTAGTTTTTTTTCTACAAATATTTGCCTATAAATAGTCATTCATGGCTAGATTGTAAATGATCCAGAACTTAAATCAAAGACAATTGGTTTCTATTTTTCCTGTCATTTATATTTCCTACATTTTATTTTAGGCACTTCCTTTTCGAAACATTTATGTTCAGCACTTTCTTTTCGATGCATTTTATGCACTTCATTTTCAAAGCATAGGAGTAGAGATAAGTAATTGTTGCTTTGATTGTTCACTCAATCACTCCGATTGTTCACTCAATCATCTTTCTCCGTCTCTCTCCTTCTTCTGTTAATTTTTCTTTTCTCTACACTTGGCAATTTTGAAGTCATCTTCATTAAAGCAAAAGAACCGTCAACACAATCATTTGATAATTGACTTGAATTTAATCTGCAGGAATTTTTCAATCCTTATTGGCATGCTCGCATTTATGATATTTTCTTTCATAAGAAAAATAAGCCAACAATTTTTGGCACGCCCAGTGGGATGTCAAGTGTAAGAAATGAAAAATAAATTGGATTCGTCC